AATAGTACGAGGAAAAAGCACCAATGGCTGATTTTCTTCTGAATGGAACGAGGAAAAAGGGATGAGATGGAGAAAAGCACCAACTTTGACATGCGGATCCGTGAATTTTTGATGTTTCTGCTGACCGGGCAATCGGTCGGCTAGCTGCTTTAGCAATATATCTTCCTTGTAACGTATTGGCATGGTGGAAAATTCGCTTGCATTACTGATAATTTCGATCAAAGCACGTAGCTTCGTTTTCGCACTCAATGACATACTGAATACTTCTGAAAACGAAGGAAAGGCATGATTTGAAAAGCAAAAATTACCAGGTAAAAAATTAAAAAAATATCTCTTACGCTGATTCTCCGAGAGGTGAAAAAGCCCACCATCTTGGAATTGGAGGGACCGAAAGTGATATAAATGTTGCTGCTCAACCAATGGAAATCACCAGCCGTTGCCGAAGTGAGACTGCCGAAGTTTTCCCCCATCTCTGAGTTAAACAGAGACAAGTTAAAAGTGGCCTGTACGTGCCAGTATAATTTACCATCGAAAGAGGGGACAGAACAATATAAGGTGCATCGGACACACACACACACATACATACACAGACACACAGACACAGACACACACACACACATAGATACACACAGACAACCCCGTGAAAATATACGTTTAGTACTGTTGCTGCACAGCACAAAACGCATAAAAATGATAAAAATATGGGCAGGCTAAGCTTTTCGCTGAATCTTCTAGTAAAAAAAGAAGCCTTCATCCCCATAATTAAAAAAATTCGTGCATAAAAAGTGGAACTATTTCTTCAAGACCCACTGAATTTGGACAGCTTCCGCCGAAAGAGCAAAACCATATCGCGATTTCTGCGCTTATTCACCAGAATGGCATGCTTTCCAACATAACCGAGCTCAAAACCGATTTTCCTCGCAAAACTACAACCTCTACTTTTGCGCTCCATTGGTTTGGACAAAAATTTAACGACTAATTTTTTAACATTTCCAAAACCAATATTCAATTAGAATTTTCCGAACAAATTTTACTGCTAATCAACCCATCTTTTCGACTCTCTAAGCCAAATTTTGTGTTGCTTCTGGCTAAACTTTACGCCGTCTGACCTTAGCCAACAGTTCTGGAGCTCTTGTCAAACAATTGACAGAAGCTCCAGAACTGTTGGCTAAGGTCCAGAAGCTCCAGAAGCTCCAAAACTGTTGCCTCCCCTTTCTGCCCAATGCCTTGCTCAGCCAATGATTTTGGGACCGCCATCCCTCCCTCTGGATAACCTAACGATGTTAAATGGGCCCATAGTGAAATATGATCACAACTCCTTCCAAAACTCTCATTATCATAAAATTCAGAATTTTTGCAGTCTAAAATGTAAAGTGAAAGATGACCGATTGTGGTGTAACTGATGTAATAATAAGCAGCGATCATCCCAAGATTCAATGGCTGTGTATCCATATCGTTCCTGATTGTAATACATTTTGAATTTTCCAAATCTTTCAGCGTATTTTCCACTAATTCCGAAAGACTGTCCGATAAGTGGCGGTGTGTAACACCTTGCAGATTGTAGTAATTCGGATTCTGTGTCATTCGCCGATACAACAACGTCCATGTCAAGTACTAAAAAAAGCTTTCAGAAGATTGAAGTTTTAAAAAAAAGCGTTTCGAATTTAATTTCTCCTTAATAATGAAAATGTTGTAACAGTTTCATAACGGCGATAATACAGTAGTGGTATTTTTACAACCGAAACGAAATTCGGCGTCCGTGAAGACTTCTGGCACAACTTCAACCAAAGCAGATAGTTGTTATACAGATGTATCAAAGAATAAGCGTAAGTATGCTGAAGGATTTTCTACAAGCAGTGGAAAAGATGCGCCAAATTTCAGTTCGGTTGTAAGATGCGCCTTTCTCTGGAAGAATGAAATACGAGAAGAGTGGATTAGAATTATTAGAAGGCTGATTGTTTGTAGAGGCGGATCTAGGGCGGTTTTTTGGGGGGAGCAGAAGAGGAAGGATTTTTCTCCCCTTTCTTCGTTCGTCACTACGTCGGAAACTCTTTCACTCCCCCCCTCCCCCCCACCCCGTTCCCTCCAAAGTTGTTCCGCCACCCTCCACCTCCACCGCTCGGCCGCCCTGCTCCCCCACTCCCTGCCCCCAACTCGGAGAAGGAGGTGGGGAGGAAGAAGAACGAAAATGAGGCTCTTGGAAGGAGGGGAGGGGGCGACTATGATGTCGAAGACAGTCCTCTTCACTTTTAGCACCGGGGAGGTGGAAGGGGGCGGCGAAAGGCCCATCGCCCCTACCCTTAGACCCGCCAATGATCCTTTGACATAGTTCTGGCCACAAACAACCGTCTTGGTAAGGTTAACGGATGCAAACGGCTGCCTAAAGTATCAAGGAAAAAAATGATGACTGCGCAGAAACCTATATTTCTACTTCCCACTCCACCATGGTGCACCCAACAAAAAAAGAAATTTCGTAAAATCAAGCATACATCAATGGCATCCTGCTTGTTCTCGATAGTTCTGGTAACAATTTCTGCGTTGAAATGATCGTGGAGACAGTGATCCAGATGAGACTCAACAGGAAGCGGCTCGTAAAGGAATTTCTTGAAGAAGTCTTTTTTCGATGATTGGCACATTAGGACACATTTTGCTGAAAACTCAAAAATATATTCAAAATCGTCACGAATCCTACTGCTAAGAACCAAAAATTTCATTGAGATGATGCCAAACGTGAATTCCATCTTTACTTAGCTTCTTATTTCCGCGCTTGTTTGCTTTTATTTTAATTTTAGTTGGTATATGTTTATGGAAGATGTAAGGAAATAAAAAAGGAAAATGTTTAGTTTGCATTTTTACACATATACTTCTTCGAAGATTGGCACATTTCCATCACTTTGAAAGCCAAAAAAAAACGGTTTTTTTTTCCACCAAAACTTTCTGAATATACCAAGAAAGACAGAACCGCCCGGGCAAGCCGTGTTGTGGACTAGTGTTAGTGATGTTACTGGGATGTTCCTATACGTCGGAAGCAGCTCTAATAGGCCCTTTGACCCCGAATTATACATCTCCACAGCCTGCGCGATGCACGAGCATTGTCGAACTATGTGTGCGCAAGGGCCCAAATAAAAATAAATGGCAACGCGCACCAGACTAGCCGGTGCGATCATGCGTTTTGTGCAATTCAGCCCATCGACATAATAAATAGCAACGCACACCAGACTAGCCGGTGCGATCATGCGTTTTGTGCAATTCAGCCCATCGAACGATTGCTAACGCGCACCAGACTAGCCGGTGTGATCATGCGTTTTGTGCAATTCAGCCCATCGAACGATTGCCTCTTTCACTGCTTTGTACTTTTGTCTATGCAAAAATAGTTCAAACATTGGAAAACAATTAAAAATTTCACGCACCAGCGCATGAAAGCTGAATTTGAAACCTTGAAGGGTGAATATCTTTCCGCGATTCCCTAGTTAATAGTTTAGCCGCCAAAATTCTCACGAGGCCTTATCACCTACTAGCAAGGGAACGCTGAATTTGAACAGACAAGGTTGAGCGTGGACAGGGGGGTCAATACCCTAAAATTTTAGCCTCCTAGACTCCATGGTTCCCGATATATTAATTTACTCGTAAAAAACTTTCACGGAGCCGTACGTGTTACCCGCGGGCATGGGGAAGCTGAATTTAAACTTGCGGGGTCACACGTGGATGGGGAACGTTGCTCTAAATTTTCAGCTTCCTAGCTTTTGTGATTCCCGAGTTGAAATTTGCGGACAAATTGCTGCGGACACAAACACACACACAGACAACCCAGTAACAATATGAGTTTTGTACTGCTGTTACACAGCACAAAACGCATAACAACGTAAGACGGTCGCGAGTCATCCAAGAGATTGACTCTTCCACTGGCGAAGCCAAGTTCCCCATCCTTCTACAAGTCGACATGAGAAATCGGTACAGAAGCACACACAGACACACACACACAGACAACCCCTTGACAGTATGTGTTTTTTGCATTGCATAGATGCAAAAAATGCATTAAAAAAATACCGTCATCATCGGCTCCAGGTCGATTTGCCAAGCCAACCATATGCAGTACATCGCCGATCGGGTAATCCTCATAGACGTGATATTTGCCATTGTAAAACTGCGTGTCCATAATTATCACGACGTATGCATTCATCGAGATTTGATAACACATTGTGCGTGGAACAATGCATACCTGGCAAAAAATTTGCTTGAAAAATTTTTCCATAATATTTCGTTGTCCGAAAAACTATGATTAAAAAACTATAATTTTAATTTGAATTAAAATTTTCGAAATTTCTGTCTTGAAAATAAAGTGGAAGGCAATACGGGCCGTAAAAGCCCTGTAGGCAAAAGGAAAAGGCTAGTAAACTGAGGGACAGGAACAACGGTCCATTCAGTGAAGGGTAAAGACCAGCAAGGGCAGTACCTGCCTTGCAAGGTGACTATGAATAGCCCGTCGTAGAACGGCGGTCATCCGGAATGCAGTAACCAGTAAGTTCATAAAAAAGGAAAAGAAAACTAAAATAAGGTCAAGGAGATTGTAGTGTTGCATATTTACAGAAACCGTGTGTCATGTGAAAAAGTCATGTAGAGAGGTGCACGCTACAGCCCCCTAAAAGCCCATGCTACTGCCGCTCCAGTCGAACTTCCCAGACAAATCATTTAGAATTCTCACACATTTCTTACTTTCCTGCACGGAAAAACACAATTTCATTTCATGTATGTGCGTCAAAATAACGAAAACTTGATGGCCACTGTAGAAAATAGCTCTGCTATCATGCTGAAGCCCGATGGCTCGGCTTCATCAGTGAGATAACCAGTCTTTCTACGATCCGTTCATCTGTTTTGATGGTCAAAACGCACTAATGGCATATGCCACAAGTCCAATCCAGCATCAGGTTGTCTCTGAGCAAACGCCGAAAGAAGGAGATACTGAAAGCCTTGCCAAAATGTGGCCATTTTTGACAAAACTGTTACCACTCGGCCTAATTCCGAGTGCACACCTGACCGGACAAGGAGGTGGGCGGAGGGCTTAACTCTTGTTTCACGTCATAATAGAAGAAAATAACGCAATTTCGAATTTCAATCAACCAATTGTGGGCGGATCCAGAGCGGAGGGGGAGGGGGAGGGACGATAGGTCTTTCGTCTCCCAGCGGGTCAGGAACCAGTGCTACAAAAATCTGGTTTCAAAGTTAAAACTGAAGAAAACTCTCTTCCGCACTCCCCACCGCAATTCCTCCTCCCCTCCCCCCGCCCCACTCGTTGTCCTCTTCCCCCTTCCCCGTCTCCCCTCCTTCCCCAAGAAGCCGCTCTAGATCTGTCTATGTAGCCAAACAAGTCAAAATTTTCAAAATTCCTCCACATTTCACCTTTCACGCGAAGGACAGGTGCCGGAGATAGACTAAACCGCAGCTCAGTAATAAAAGCGATGATTTGATGGGGAAAATTGTCGGTAATTCATTCTTCCGAAAGTTTCTAAAAAGCAAGCTGATGGCAGTTTTGACTTCCTAATATCATTTTTTCCAATAGAAATAAGACTTACTTGAATGGCACCACTTTGAAATAGCTGTTCAACAACAGCCATATCTTTGCCAATTATTCCTTCATGCAAGAAGCCAACACCACAAGACAATGTTTCTTTTAGCGTTTTGTCCTGAAATGTAAACGGTAGTAAGAATAGATAACATAAATCCATATATGTAATCAAAAAAAAAAAACTCTTCCAGCAAAGCACAGCTTGGGATTTTTAAAAGCGCCTCAGTGGTACCGCATAATTCAGCTCTGGCAATTTTGGCGGTATTTTTTTCGGTTGAATTTCATCTACATAAAGCTTTTGCAACAGCCACTGTGGAATGCGCATAGGCAACAAAATAACAAGTTTTAACAATGTGCAAAAATTTGAGCGCGTAAAAATCCGGTCAGGCAAAACGGCGAAATTCCGGATCTAGGAATTGAGGGAATTGAGCAAAAAACATCAAATAGGGTTCTTTTTGTTGAAAGTGGATGACCAAAAAAGCTTTGTTTGTCTCGGCAGCTGTTTCCTAACAGAAATAATAGACCAACAGGATTGTACGCAGGCGTCATGTGTAAGGTGATATTTTATGGGGTAAACTGCCTTTATCCTTTAGTGGGGTGATATTTTTCGATGAAGTCTGTGTTTCATCCCTTAGCTGTAAACACAGACCGGACTATGCCTACGGGTAAGAGTGGGAATCGTCAGTACAGCCTCCTACCCGCCATGTATTGAAAGGACATGTAACTAATTTGCTAGAAGGATGAGTGAATGGAAAGGATAGAGAGAGTAAGAAGGAAAAAAAATATTTAATATCATGAAAGAAGTAGGTGTGATAGAGCAGGTGGAAAACGATGAAACTAATATATGATAAGGGAAGCAATTCTATAAAGCTATGAGGAGACAGCTTTCATGAGAATATCGCATTAACTAGGTTTTTAATTCCTAGGTCATCAGGGTAAATGAATTTACTCAGTACTGATCGATTCCCGAAGCAAAATCTTAAAACGCAGTGTTCTACCCTAGCAATATCAATCTTTTTTTGTCTATAAATGTTTGTGAGGCGTCTAGCCCAGTCAACCCAGGCTGGAACGCACCAGGCGGGCCGGTGCGATTATGCGTTTTTGCACTTCTCGTGCCG